ATCTCCTCTCCCAGCTGTTACAACAATAATGTTACTTGTGGATCCAGACTCGAGCATGTCTGCAGAGCGAGTTTTTTCCACCGCATCTCCATGTATAATGGATCAGCTATTCGCTGCAGCCGTTTAACATCAGTGTCTGTGTCACTATTTGTTGAACAGCTTGAACAGAGCCGAGCTGACCATAAGAGCCAATCGCAGTCTTTTCTGTTGAGCGCATGATCAATCATAGGCATTTAAGAACTCGCTTAATAAGGTTTAAAAAGCAAGCGGGATAATATTTACATTAGTTTATTTGCTATTAATGCTTATGTTGTTCTGTGCATGTACTTGAGTTTTTTGATGAGTTTAGAAAGAGTGTTTTCTTTAAGCAGGTAAAATTAAATGTACAGTTTATACATTTGACTGCTTGTATTAAAGGACAAAATTGTATTACAAACACTATTTAAATATAAATACATTAATAAATTATAAAATTGAATACAATAATTATTGTGTTGTTAAGTAAAATATCAAATTATGTGTGGAAAGCATCGCCAATGCACCGTGATATCGAACTAAACTGAATTGATGACATTAATCGTAACCGAACCGAACCGTAAGACCAGTGTAGGTTCACACCCCTACTGCAAACAATGCTATACTGTCCTATCATGTCATTGTGTCAAAAGTGATTCATTCTATTCTAAAGCTTAGTTATAGTCTCAAATAACTTTATGGTCAAACTATCATAACAGCGTTTTATTTAATGATTTCATCTGTCGCCATTTGATGTTGGAGAATTGCAGATCTTGTGCAAACGTATCCATATAACTAAGATCAGATCTTTTTTGTCCATTTCTTTGGTTATTGAGAGTAAAGCAAAGCAATTAATAGGTATTTACAACATTTTTTTAAACATTAAATTAATTTTAATTGTATGTTCCAACTGGTTTTCATATTACAGGAAAAAAATGACCTTTTTTAAAACAATATCTTGCACAGATATAGAGAAGACATATATACGAAGATATTAGTTTAGAATTAATTAGGTGTCAACAAATGATGACAATTTAAACTTTTACTGTGACAAATATCTCAAATCCAGAAAGTATCTACCCAATTAAGGAATAAAGTTAAAAGAGCGTCAATTGAAGAAAGCAAGTACACTACTGTTGGGAATGTGGATGAGAGTGCGGGAAGTTCTAGAGGGCAGTGAGTATGCTTTTAAGAGCATGCATGAAGCATGTAATGACTTAAGAGTTGAGAGTTAAAGGGCTAGAGGCGCAGCACTGGATAAGAACATCACTGCTGAAAGTGAACCCAACAGCATTCATTACTGCTGTGATTCTCTGCATGACAGCAGCAGGATAGCAAGATTTAGAATGACTAGTCATGCCCCAATTCAACTGATTTTAAAGAAAGGGTACTCATAAGCCGTGTGGGATATTATATAACAGCTAAAATCTAAATATAAAGCATGTGTGATAAGTTGTTGATATATATAACTGTATAATTGTAATTATTTTTCAGATTTTTCCCAAGTGCTGTTCAGCAGAGCAAGGATATTTTCACAGTATTTGTTTTCTTATCAAGAAGTATTTCTTTTAATTTCTTATTTCTTTTCATTTAAAAATGTTTTTCAAAGGTTGGTATTATTGGTATTTTTTAATTGGCTACAGAACAAACCATTGTTGTACAATAATTTGCCAAATTAATACAATTTTTAAGCTGAATTTTAGTGTAATAATAACAAGAACTGTCATCCCAGTAAATTAAAACAAAAAGTTATTAGAAACTACAGCGTAAAAAAAAAAAAATTATATGAAAAGGACATATAAAAAGAGTCATGACAACAAATGTTTTATGCTACTTTCACTTTTTCAATAGATTAGTCATGTTAATAGATATGTAATATTTATTTTGTCAGTTTGACTGAGGTTGAAATGACAAGAAAAAGGGACTTCGATTTAACAAAAAAGTTTTTTTTTTGTTTTTTTTTTTTAACCAGATTTGTTTTTTTACCAGGGTAATTATCAAAATAAAATCTTAAAAATATTCTCTGATCGGTGCAATAGCCCAGTTGTTAGTGCACTGACATATAGTGCAGAAGCACTCCCGGCATCCCAAGCTTAAATCCCAGCTCGTAGACCTTTCCCGATCCTACCCTCCTCTATTTCCCACTTCACTCCGTCAATTTACTGTCCTGTCAAATAAAGGCAAAATTCCAAAAATAAACCTTAAAAAAACTAACCCTCAACCCCCCCACCACCCACACACAGACAAAAAAAAATTATATATATAATATATATAGCAAATAATATTTAACTAGATCCTCATTCATTCATTTTCTTGTCAGCTTAGTCCCTTTATTAATCTAAGGTTGCCACAGCGGAAAAAAACGCCAACTTATCCAGCATGTTTTTATGCAGCGGATACCCTTCCAGCCGCAACCCAGTACTGGGAAACACCCATACACTCTTGCATTCACACACACATTTATACAAGACGGCCAATTTACTTCATCCAATTCACCTATCGCACATGAAACCGGAGCACCCAGAGGAAACCCACGCCAACATGGGGAGAACATGCAAACTTCACACAGGAATGCCAACTGGTACAGCCAGGACTTGAACCACTTACCTTCTTGCTGTTAGGCGACAGTGCTATCCATTGAGCCACCATCCCACTTTCGTACAAAACACTAATTAGTCAATTCTGAAACATGTAGTTTAGCTCAGGCTTACACTCAACTTAAACAAAATCCAGGAAAATTGGATATAGATAAACATCAGAAAGAATGGATAAACATTTACTTCACTACAAAGATGACGCAGCAACTTGAGGGAATGTTTGACTATTGACTTAATGAATGACTGAATCGAATTGCTGAAATGAACTGTCTGTTTGCTAAATGAATGAGAATTCCCAATGCCAAGAAAACTTAGCATGAATTCACGGAGTGGCAGATAGCCGACTACAAAACACATCCTCGCGTATCCAACTCTGATCTTTCACAGCTGGCTGGCATCCGGCGAGAGACTCATTTAAAACACTCTGGGAGAGACAAGATAAGCAGCTCAGACTCACAGGAGCCCACAGACTGATTAGCAATATCACTAAAACATCGGGAGAAATGGTGGAAGGAAACAAAACCACAAAATGACCATTGATTTACCTCACAGCAACAAAAAAAGTCCCATGAAATTAAAATACTTTTTTTTAAATTTTATTTTATGATCGGTATGTTAGTCTTAAGGATATCTCAAGCTATAGTGTGCTCCAAAACAGAGACAAAATTCAGATTTCATCATCCAAAACTTGGAAGTTTATATCCAAGCAGTTTGTCACTAAATGGATCAAATGGATTTTTCATCAAATCTTCTGGCTAATGAAATGCTCTTTAGTATCTGACATGTCCAGCCCCTTTCAAGACGCTTCTCATTTGCTTTGTATTTGATGCCCTTGAGCTCTCACTGGCAGATCTGTGATAAAAGATAAACGCTATTGGAGGAGCTACCCTGTGTTCCATCCTGTCTTCATGTTTTAGGCCCAATTCTATTTTTTACCCATTCCCCTTCCCAGTAGCCCTTGAAACAGAGTGTAAAGGGCAAGGGCTTTAAAATTGACCCCTAACAAATGGGACACCACTACAACACCAGCACACGTCATCAAGTGTAGTTGTGATCTCTTACTTTATATAAGATCGACAACGGCAACTGCTGCAGTTCTAGTTCTAATTCTAGTTGCGTTATTTTTTTTGTTTTTATCTTCAGGAAATCAACGATATCATGTTATTATAACGATATAATGTGGCAATAAGCTTGTAGCTGTAACATTACTGTGCATTTACACCATGGCCACATTCGTCTATGTAAACACAAGGAAACAATGTAATACCAGACACTGTAAACAGGTCCTTCAAAGCCACTAGACTTTTCTGACAGTGTATTTGAGTGTCACCGAATGACAGATGTGAAAGTATGTTGTGCGACTGCTGTACAGGAGTTATTATTACTATGGATTATCGATAGAGAAATTTAGCAGATTTTTTATTACTTTTTTTTTTTTACAGCATGACAATAAAACACGAACGCTGTTATGAACATATTCAAAACATAGACTTGTTTGTTGTAAAACTTCTTAATAATGCCAAAAATGCTAATTTGTGCATTTCTTGACTCGCGCATGCGGCCATGTTGCAGTTCTAGATTGTGTAATCTGGAAATTTTTGTACCCCTTGGTTTCTAGTGTGGTCCTGGAAAATCTCAGTTTCAAGAGCTATCTAACCCTTTGTCTTAGCTCTATGCCTTAGACCTAAAGAGAATTAGGACACCCCTACCCCTTCACATGAATGCGCAAAACAAGGGGTGAGGGGAAAAGCTAAGGGGTAGAATTGGGATTGGTGGGGCCTTAGTTAAGAATACGTCAGCCAAAAAAAAAAAAATCTGAAAATCTTAACAACTGGCCCAATCAACCAAATATCTCCAACACAAAACCATGCTTAAGGTTTTAAAGTCTGTGTAAGCTGGAATTTGTGCAGACTAATATTTCAATATTAGTATTCATTATTCAGTATTGATGTACTTGCAAATGAAACAAAATATTGAGTAGGGGGGTGGGGCTTTCTTTTTGCACATCGTTCCCTAGTAGTGGGGGCGTGGTTAAAAATAATGTGGCTAAATCCTCCAAATAGACACCAATAGAGAAAGACCAACACTTCAAACGTGGAAGATAATTTGAGTGAAGATTACCAAAACAAACTTTTTTCAGTGGATTAACTGGCAAAGATTAATTGTCCAACTGAAGAATAACAATGTGCACTAGCAAAACAAACATTGTACAATTAAATTTCACAAAGACTTTAACACTAGAAAGTGAAGAAATGATCTTAATTAATGCTTTTGCAATATTTCTCCATGGAAAATGACACTGAGAATAATCACAATTTTTAAAATAGTGTATTGAAGTTCAAAATCCCAGCATTGTGACAACACTACTTGTGTTTTCGCATCTCTCACCTTCTGTCTTTGCTGGACGGTGCTCACAGTGTCTGGCTGGAACTCCAGTTTGTCAGTGCGACATAGTTTCCAGTACAAGATGCTTATAATAATGACAACCAACAGCACCGGGACCACCACTCCTATGATTATCCATGTGTTGGTCTTCTCTGTGTCTGAAGGAGGTGAGGCCTGTTTCTCCACAGCTGGACATACATGAGGACAAAGAGGCATACATGTCAGTGACTAGGGACAATATATAAAAAAAAGAAAGAAAAAAAACAAATAAATAAATTAATTAAAATAAATAAATAAAATAATAATAATAATAATAATGTAAAATGCATATATAATATTATTATTAAAGTGAAGTCTAAAAATAGAAAAGCAAAAAAAAAAAATTATGTTCCTCGTTAATATATGCTCCTTTAGCATTTGATTAACTTTTATTAATAATTAAATTAGAAAAAAGTATAATATACTTGTATGTAAATTGATAATTATGTACATTCTCCTTTTATATTATTTTCTTTAAAATAATTATTTTCTCATTTAATTCTCCTTGTTAAGAAATGTGAAGTGATTTTGTTGTATAATGAAACTGTAGTGTACATGCTGGTTCTTGTTATTAAAGCAAAAAAGGAAAATATACAGTAATATTATCAAAAACATTGTTATAAAATATTGTTCACAGAAAAATACTACTTTACAAGGAATTCAATACATAAATTTAAACGATTTGCTTGAAACAGGATTAATTTAAAAACAAAGCCAGTGGATATCATAATAAATGGTTTATTGACTTGTATCATAATTAATGATTTGTTAAAAATAGAGGAAAAGAGGAACAAAAATATTATCAGTAAAACTACTATCATATTGTAGTAAAAACCCAAACATTTGTTTATAACAAGCTACTGAAATGGTTTAAAACATCAGACAATTAAAAAACACCCATTTTATGTCTAATTAAATAAAAAAAAAAAGAAATAGTCACAATTCTGAGAAAACCCACCCCTTGGGGGTGCAAAAAATAAATAAAAAAAAAAACAAGGCAAAGCAAAACAAACATCAAAAAACAACAAAAATCAAACAAAAAACAAAACAAAACAAAACAAAGAACAAAACAAACAAAAACATAACAACAAAACAAACAAAACTAAGATAAAAAAACATCAAAAAAACAAACAAAACAAACATAAACAAAACAAAGCAAAACAAAACAAACAAACAAAACAAAAAAACATTTCTGTCTTAATTCTGAAAAAAAAAATCACTGGGAAACACCCATACACTCATTCACACACATGTGCATGTCTTTGGACTTGTGCAGGAAACCTGAGCACCCGGAGAAAACCCACGTGAACACGGGGAGAACATGCAAACTCCACAGAAATGCCTGACCAAGCCGAGGCCTGAACTAGCAACCTTCTTGCTGTGAGGTGTCAGCGGTACCCACTGCGCTGCCTCCATATATATGTAATAATTCTGGTATAAATTTTTTGGAAATATCTGTCTCTTTTCAGTACTTTTGCTGTCTTTTTAAAAAACCAACATCCAAAAGAGTCTGAAAGTAACATGTAATGTAAGAGAAATAGTATAAACAATACATCTATTATCAACAGTACATCTAACATCAGACTGAATATTGATTTACATGAAAAAACATAAACCATCTACCAAAAACAAATAAACAGTATCATCGGTTTTGTGTTTTTGCGTCCACTAAAAATCCATAAATTTGGGTTAGTTCTGTTTTTCGCTCCACTTTAATTGAAGACCTATTAAGATTTAAGCTAAAGTTCAAAAATATCTATGTTATACAACAGGAAGCTCCTAAATTTAGTCTAATGAATCTAGTGTTTATGCTGTGGGTGATGCAGTTGCAAGCCCGCCACATATAAATGTTGCATAAAAAGGCAGAGCTCTCTTGAGATGTCATGTTATCTGAACTCTCCTCTTTGAGGTTTCCAGCAGCAGAAATAAAGAAAGCTACAACAAAAACCTCTGCCTGCTATGTTAGCATCAAATCAAAAACATTACAATGATAACTCCCTCATCTTGTCTTACCATTATTGTATAGTTTATTGCAATTACGGTTTCTCTCCCACTGGTTATTTTGTAGTAAAAGAATGAATGCTCACGCTGTGCTAATATTCCCTGGATGCGGTATCCCATGATGATCGCTGCGTGCTGCACGTCAAGACTGTTCAGCATGTTGGCTGTGGTGGTGGCAGGAAGCCTCTGTCCGTTAGCTCCTTCCACAAAGTAGATGATCTCCAGAGGGTTGTCTGGCCCTACAAGATGGGTCGTCTGTACGATCTAAATGAAGTGGGTAGAAAAAAAAATGGCTTGTTCACACAAAATTTATAAGGGGTTTAAACACAGTTGTGTGGCAACAGAGAGTGAATATATTCAGCCTCTAATGGTAATAATTACTTATCTTTTTTATAATCACACATGATAAAAACAGTCTGCAGAAACACTTTGATTGACATTCTCCCTTTGTACATGTCATCAGAGAAGGAAAGCCCCGCCCATTCGTGACACTCTCTTCCTCATTAGCATAAACAGCCTCGAGTTAGAAGCAGTCATCCGCCATTAGAGTTTTGAATCTGTTGATATACTTATGCACAGGAATTTATAGCTCCGCCCTGTTTCTAAAATAGGACTGGGAACACAATCTCATTTGAATTTAAAGCGACAGTGACGAAAACAGAACAATTAGGATCAAAGCCTTAAATAGGCAGCTTCGAAGGGTTATAAAATATTATTTATGAGGTATTTTAAGCTGAAACTTCACATACAGTACACACTCTAGAGCAGGGCTATTCAATAAGTTTGTCATGGGGGCCGGTTCATGAAAAGCATCCCAAATAAAGGGCCTGAGAGATATGACTTGCTATCCGCTTGTTAACTGGTGACGTGTTGGTGACGTATGTGATACTTTTTCCGGGTCCAAGCCGCCACTCATTTGAGTTGAGAAATCAATCGTTTATGATCACTTTTTATTCATATCTCACATTAAAGTTCATTTAATATAAAGTCATAGAGTACACAACAATCTCTGGGCTTCCTGCATCACAAACACCAACATTTTAACAATTTATTAAAAAAATTAATCACTTTCTGGCCATCGGATATTAGGCATGGACATATATATTGCGATCGTGATTTTCAAAAATATTAAATCGCTTTGTAAACGTTTATTATTACCATTTCACGAGTCTCCCCATTCAGTAGAATAGAGCGCTTGGACCCGGAAGCCGCTTCGCGTGACGTCACACTTAACAAGCGGATATAAGTGATAACACAACTGCATATAAGAGCACATATGCAGTATTTTTCTCTAAGACACCAACATTGGCTTTTTTTACATAAAAATGTTAATATATTGTATTTTGAAACTACATAATCATTGCATTGTACAATAGACTTTTTTTTTACAAACATATTCAAATGTTGTATTTCAGAGCATAAAAAAAGCAGTGCTTTGTCTGTAGGCTTTTTCTATATTCAGACATATTCTTATGTTTTCCGGTGTGCATGCGTATTAGCCTCGATGTACATACTTGGAAATTTAAACTAGCGCACAGTTGACTACTTAGCATAACTTTGTTTAATTGCAGCAGTTTCGTTTTGTTCCGTGCAAGAGAAATGCTGCTTAAAAGCCTTTACGTTAAAACTGTGACGAATTAAAGCGCTGGTTATAGTGAAATCGAAAAATCGTTGCATCCCTATTATCAATGTCAGTGCACAGTATAAAATACCTTTTCTACAAACACATCCAAATGTTTTTGGCTGCTTGCGTCACTCGCTTATGGTGACTCACGCTCTGTGAAGCCTTCTACTGCAGCTCATGCTGTATTGAACAGACGCACGTCACTTCATAACTATAGCGGACATTTTTTGACTGAACTAAATTTATTTTTGATGTTTTGGCGATTATTTGGAGGGCCGGAATAAATTGCCTTGAGGGCTGGGTTCGGCCCGCGGGCCACTAATTGAATAGCCCGGCTCTAGGGACATCAGACACTTATTTTGTCTTGTAAAAAGATAGATAGGTCCCCTTTAAAGACCACTTAGATATTTAGATTAAAAAAATAGTTTGTAGTCCAAATATCTAAAAATTCCTAAATCAAGAAGACGATTGTTACGTTTATATGACGTTATTCAGTTTGGATGAGTTGCTAGTTTCGTTTTGCATTGTTAGGATGCGCGGGTTGGGTGTGTTGGATGTCAATGCCTTCTCGGACATTGAAGGTTTACTTTTAGTTGTATTTTGTAGTTCTAGGGGAGGAGTTTAATGGGTTAGTTAGATTTTTGTTTTAATCTTTTCTTTTGTTTGGCACAATCCCATTCTCTTTGTCCTCACTATGTCTGTTAAACTTGGTTAAATTTTTTTGTGAAATTGTTATTTCTTATGCCTACTTTTTAAATATCCACAGCTTGTATTTATTAAACAAGTTCACTTAAATAGCACTTTTATGTCTTGTTGTTCCGCATCCATTATAAATGGCAGCAATAATTACAACTGGCTTAATGTTTTCCTTTTTTCCTTTTTGTTTCCCTTCGACCATAAAAAAGTAACGAAAGGGATGTAACAGCGGGCAAAGCATTTCTAGATGAGCAAAAAATATAGTCTTGTTTTCTGAAATAATAAATCGCAATTAAATACATTTTTCATTTAAAACAAAAAGCTAAATAATCTGCCAATGGGGTAAGCAAGCGAATCTCGTTTTTGCTTTGAAATAACTTGAAGTTACGAGACAAAAACATTGTCATTGTTTACAAGCTGCTTTTTGTAAACAACACTGAAGTAAAACTAAAATTTTTAAATAGAAATTTAATAGAATGCTAAAATAGAAACCAAAACTACACTGGAAAAGAAAAGCTGTGTGACTTTTGAAAAAACTGAAAATTTAAACAATCCAAAATTAAAACCTAGAAAAAATAAAAACATTCCCAGACTCTTTTGTGTAGGAGTTTATAGAGATACCTAATTTACATTTCATAATAAAACTATTAGTTGAGTTTTGCCTGAATATGTCTTTTGGCCTCTAGAAGTGCAGATAGTACCTGACTTGTATTTATACAGGGAATTAGGATTTCTTTAATGATGAAAACATTACTTACATCTTTAACTCCCATTTAATTTAAAATCAATTCATTTAAGCTGAAATGAAAACTGAAAATATAACAATAGAATCTAATTCAAAATATGAATAAATACGAATGCTACACAGTATATAAATAGTAATACAATCTATTTTTTTAAATAATGGTAACACTTTAAAATAAGGTTGTATTAATTAACGTTCATTAATTCATTTATTAACATGAAAAAACTATAAATAAAACATTTATTACAGTATTTGTTCATGTTAATTCATGTTAGGTAATGAAAATGTAATCATTCATTGTTACTTCATGTTAACTCACGGTGCATTAAGTAACATAACAAGGATTAATTTGGCTTTTTAATAACGCAGAAGTAAAAGTTGAATTATGATTAATAAATACTTTACAAGTAATGTTCATGATTAGTTCATGTTATGTACATTAACTAATGAAAGTTAACTGTAAAGTGTGACTAAAACAATTAATTAACAGTGTCAATACACTTGCTTTTCATTCGAAGGAATGTCTGAGCTATTCTTCAGAAGTCAAACAGCTTTGAACTGTCAAAAGAGAGAGTAAATGGGAACTGTCTTTTGTGGTAAATTATTTCTTTAACCTTTACTTTAATTTTTTAACTGCTCTAATTAATCCTAACACACATAAAAACACACAAATCTACACGCATATGAACCGGCTACAATTAGCCCTTTAAAATGTAAATGTCTTACCGGACAAAAACCTAAAAAGGCTTTTAGAGGGTCTAAGAAATGAATCTAATATGTTTCTAGTCTCCAGAGTTATTGGGGTGGAAAAAGAGAGTCCATGTGTTGAGCTTCACCTGAGTTTGACCTACATTAAGAGCCCTGAGTAGTGAACCCTCACCGGACAGAGATGTTAAAAGCTCATTTTGAAAAGTGCTGCTACAGTTCCTCATGGTGCATTACAATCATAATAATATCATAATAACATCCAGGTTTAGCAAACTGTCATTATCTACAGTATGTAAAGACCCTAGACGTGATGTCCTCTCAAAAGAGCACTTTTAGAAACCAAACATTTGTTGTTTTTACTTTGTAATATTTCTATAATTTGAGAGATTTTGTTAAATGACAATAATAAAATTTTGTTTATTTGTAAGTCTTGGTGATTTTCTTGTGATTTATCTGTCATTACTTGTGGATGTTAACAAATAAATACAAATGAATTATAATTCCTCAAATTATATTATAGTTCCTAAAAATCTGGGCCGCGGGTTGATGACCATGGAAAAAATGTGGGTCCCATGGCCAAACCAGTTGAGAACCACTGCTTTGTCATATCAAACATGCACAAAGTACAGTGTTTGTGCAATGTATTTAGCTGGTAGTTCGGGTCATCACTCAGGCTGTCTATTACAGTGTTATGACAAATAAATCTTATTTATAAAATAAAACTTCATTTACATATTACTCTTAAATACTCACAAATATACTTAAATTAATCGTAGATGATATATAGTACAAACAATCCAATACAGATGCTTGAAATGCAGCTTTCTAATGACAGGTTGATCAAATATCAACCACAAATTTTTTTTTAAACTGAACATCTATCACGTTTTAGACAATATTCTAGGTTTTTGCATGAGATATATATATATATATATATATATATATATATATATATATATATATATATATATATATATATATATATATATATATATATATTTTTTTTTTTTTTTTTTTTTTTTTGCAATAAACAAGCCTTTTCTGAATTTGGTTATAGAGTATTAACCATCCAATTATTTATATCAGTTAAACAATCATAGTAGTATTAGATGAACACATTATGTAGCATATTTCTCCCTATTTTTCAAAATAAAAATACTGTTTAAATTGCCAACGAAATGTTTTGCATTTTTTATGAATGGCTTAATTCAGTCATTCTCAAACATTTTTCACCAAGTGCCACCTCAGAAAAACTTGTCTCTAAGTACCACCAATGACTGGTATTGAAATACATAGTCGGCCTAAGCCTAAAGCTTTGCACAGTTCACAAACGTGGCAGATTAATTCCTATTTTTATGAATATTTATTATTGTCAGCCACCTTAAACATAATAAATAGTTTGAACAATAAAACACTTACATGTAAAAAAAAAAGGTAAATAAAACTTTGGCGTTTAAATTAAAATGTGATTTTAAAATTTAAATAAAAATGTTCTAAAAAGTTAAAATAAAACTGCTGTACTTAAATATAAAGTATTATAAACTAGCCTATTCATCAAAACCTTCAAATGGACCTCTTGGACAGTTTTAAATAAATATAGGTTATACCTTATATAGTATTTATATATAACTCTGTTTGATAAATTTTTAAATATATGTTGCATGTATATATGACTTATTTGTATATCTTTGAAATCTAAATGTTAACTTGTATTTTAAATATATGAATTGGATTTACATATTTAATTAGAAATTAGATCTGCGTACTGCTCGTTAAAGTAGGCTATGCGTGTCAGAAAAGCAAGTCATTAAACTGTACCTGTCAACATTTGGATATAAAAATACGGGATATGCCCCCAACAATCGTTACAAGTATGGGGAGAAAAATAACCTCAATATATAAAATACATAACAAACATTAGAAAAAAAATAAAATAAAGTTTTGCCAATTAAAATCAATTTCCTGATCACATCGTTGTTATTGTACGCGTGTCAAAGGGTTGAAAGGTTGATCATTTTTTTACTTGAATTATTCAGCAATTCCTCCGCATACCACTAGAAGGAAGCCTGCGTACCACTTGTGGTACATGTACCATAGTTTGAGAACCACTGCCTTAATTAATACGCATCGGACTCAGTGTGCAAGGATTGTGCAAGTCAATAAATGTTTGTATATTAATGCAAAAAAAAAAAATTACAAAAAATACAAAAAATTCTGACTTTAGTGTGCACAGACCTTCGGGGGGCTAATAAAATTGACCTCAAAATAGTTTTTACATTTTCTTAAACTGCTTTTATTCTAGCTGAAAAAATAAAAATAAAAAATTAGGACTTTCTCCAGAAGCAAAAATATTATAGTAAAAACTGTTAAAAAATTCCTTCCTCTGTTAAACAATATTTGGGAAATATTTGAAAAAGAAGGTTAATAACAGGCTTATATTTTTATATAATCAATATACGTCCAATTGTAGTTATTATATTTTGCAAACAAGCAATAGTACTTTCATGATATTCCAGAATTCATCACCTCTTAAAATATGAAGCCACATCACTGAGCGCCATTAACACAACTTCATTCTCAGCTAATTAGCCATCATTAACAGACTACAACTTGCCATATTCAACACATCCATTAGGTCAGTGAGTCTTCCCATTGGGTCTCTATAAAATGCTCTCTGTGTAGGCAGAACGAGCAATTAAAGCTTTCAGAATCGCTCTAGCTGTCTGCGGGGCTGTGTTCAATAATTTATCTGTGTTTGCAGCTGGAGCAGGACGCGCCGGCAGCCGATAGGGGTGAAATGGTTGTTTTTAAGCAGCTCTGCGGGCCAGGAATGAATGGGATGGTGTTGCCATGGATACCCGTTGTCCCTGAATGATGATCCGCGGAGGGAGAGCAGGTGTGTGGATGTGCCACAAAGACAGAGACTGATTAAGAAGCCAGAGACGCGTTCGACACGCACACAGGAAGAGCTTTATAAATGAAGCCAATGAGCTCATGCGTGGAAAATAACACAGATGATTTACGAACCTGCAGGCTGTTGTTGCCCACACTGGTTGCTCTCTTAAAGCGGCGGCCCGTACCCAACACATCGCCCAACAGCAGAGCCAATCTCCTCTCAATGGTAATGTGGAAGACCTTGTCAGTCGCTCGCTGGTCCAACACTCCCAACAACACTGAACATAGTTTGTAAAAATATATATTACTGCATCTCAGAGACAGATTCAATAAGATTCAGATTCAATAGATGATTTAATAATAATGCTTCATAATAGTGCTGTTTTTACAGCATTTTTACTGGCAAATACATTTATTTATATGAATATATCTGAAGGCAATGCAAGTATTCAAATTTATTTAATGAAATTATTTATATCTATTTTATTTTAAGGTGTCTTTGTTCCATACAGTTGAAGTCATTATTACCCCCTCTGTATATTTTCCCCAATTTCTTTTCAATACATTTTTTAAATCATAATAGCTTTAATAAGTCATTTCTAATAACTGATTTATTTTATCTTTGCCATGATATTTTCCAAGATATTAGTATTCAGCTGAAAGAGCAATTTAAAGGCTTAACTAGGTTAATTAGGTTAACTAGGCAGGTTAGGGTAATTAGGCAAATCATTGTATAATGATGGTTTGTTCTGTAGACTATTGAAAAAACAAATACTTAAGGGGGCTAATAATATTGACCTTATTGCCTAATACGGAGTTTAAAAAAGTGTTTAAATATATTTTATTTAATCTTTTTCTATTTTTTTAATACAAAAACAGTACAAAGGCAATCCACTGGTCTAAACATAGCAACCCCAGCTATAAATCAGAAAATAAAAATAAATCAAATAAAAGTGAATAAATAACAAGCAAATATTTTTATTTCATTATTCAGTTTTGAGGAAATCCAGAAAAGGTTGAAACGTTCTTTGAAACGTCTTAATATGGTCTTTAAAAAAAATAAAAACTGCTTTTATTCAAGCCAAAATAAAACAAATTAGACTTGCTCCAGAAGAAAAAATATTACAGAAAATACTATGAAAAATGTAGAAAAAAAAAAATATATATATTTTTTAAATTAAATTTTACAGAACGGCGAATAATTTTGACTTCATCTGTATGTTCCATGTACTAACCATAGTAATTATAAATAATTATGCATAATTGGATGTAAATTACCCTAAACTTAATCCTAACCATATTACATAAATGTTAGTCAGTTTTTTAATTAATAGTATTTAAATAACTGTAACACCTTAAGTAAAGTGTAACCTATTTAAAAAAATACAAATATAATATTTTATATAATTGCTTATTTTTAAAATAAAAACCAAAGCCTCATATTTGGACAAAAAGCACAAAAAAACAACAACATTGTGAAGTGGTATGATAATATTATTACATATGTGTCTATTATTATTTAAATAAATATATTATTTATTTTATATATATATATATATATATATATATATATATATATATATATATATATATATATATATATATATATATATATATATATTAATAAATATTAATTAATAAGTTAATTATATTAAATATAAGTATACAAAATATATTTGAAATGTATTTCTTTTTCAGAATAAATGTATTTATTCTCTAGAACTTTTTTATTTATTTTTTTTAGTCTGACCAAGGTTCTCCTTACAATAGCTTATTTTACAATAAGCAAAAATAGTAATACCATTTGTTAAATTGTTGCAATTCCAAAATAACAGTTTTCAAAATCAACATCTTTAATGCTAGTTTATTTTGGAATAAAAAAGTGTTAAGAAATATTACCTGTTCTGACCCATGAGGAACGAAGCAGCTGGGTTGTGTTCAGCTCTGGGTAGTGGAAAGCTAATGATGAAAAGAAAAACAAGATGTCAAATATGAGCAAAAATTTGATTTCTAAGTGTTTAAATATGGTTGAGAAGTTTACAGGCTAGGATACCAGTAGATGGGTCAATACTGATAGCCCACTTTGTCACAGTTTAATCTACATACAGCATAACCACTTGTACACACACGCACAGTTGTTTTGTGAGTATTTAAATGTGGTCCATCAAAGTGAGAGTGCATACTCACGTTCTGCGATCTGCCGTACAGGATAGCCAAGGTAATAGCTGAACTCAACCACACTGAGCTGGCGGAGCAGAGCACTGACCTCTGTACCGGGCACATACCCGCGCATATCATGCACAGCAAAGGTGATCTCCACTGGAAACTTCTGCTGTTGTGCCTTTACGTCCACGTCCTGATTTACTGTTATATTCAATATCTACAAAACAATTCAGTCTTTAAGGGTCTGTTTAAAATCAACCCAGGCACATTCTGAAAACTTACTTCTATATACATTTCTGGAAAGCGCCAAATACATCATAGGAGCTACGTCTTTTTTGTTTTCACAAATCCACCAGAGGCTGCTGTGTATGCTTTTTCAGATCTCAAATTTCTTTGGCAAATGCTATTCTTGCCTGCTGTTCTCACGTAAATACACCAGACGCCCCTGTCAACTGACTGACAGACCGATCAACTGACCCACCCTCTTCCTTTCCTAAACCCAATTAATAGTGTTTTCAAAAGCATCAATTGACCCGCCCACCCACTTCCCTAAACCCAACAACAGTTTTAAAAAGGCAATCTAGAAAAAAAAAGCCCTTGCCTGATTTTACCACGTTTTTTCAGATTTTACTACATCCTCAACCTGTAATTAATTTGTTTATGTAAATTTTTATAAATTTTTATTAAAAAATATTTTTAATTAAAAAAAATTTTTTAAAAATTCTTCTGTTTTTGTTTTATCTGCTTTCTGGAACCGTTCTTTGCCAGACTTGAACCACATCTTTGTGGTCAACTCCTTTCTGTGTCTCAAATCCACCGGCATACATGGCAAGCCACTGGACAAACTAGTAATGGCGGGAAAGCGCAAAAAGGGACGGCGCTATGCCCTATAGCGTTCATTTTAAAGACAAAATGCAGCCACACGTACTTCTGCCAACATAATTCACGATCTCCAGAAATGTATATAGAGCTACGTTTTCAGAATGAACCCATGTTGGGTAAAATAAAAGCTTTTAGCAAAAAAAAAAAAAAAAAAAAAAAAAAAAGCTTGTATGTGTTTTTACAGCCAGTTTTGTGTTTTGTGTTTTACCAGACTAAGGTGGTTATTTTTTATTAATCTATTTATTTAATGAGGAGATGATGTCAACAGTTAGAAGTTTATTTATTAAAATGATTATTTTTAAATGTCTCACCAATATTTTGTTAGTTTAGTTAGTCCCTGAAGGGAAATATTATTTGCTGACAATTTTCTGACAATTCACATTTAGCATATATGTAAATAAATCATTTAAAAACAGGGTTCCCCTACTCTAAATAAATATCCAGTCTACTAGCCATCAACAAAATACATCAAACAGGAATACTTTGAAAAAAGTATAATATACTTATATAATATTATTCATATCTATTTAACAATATTCAATAATTTGTTATATTTTTAAATAAACATCTTGCAATGTATAAAACAATACAGTAAAAACGTGTACAGTAAAAATGTGTTGTTAAATAATAATTATAAAAGTCTAAATCGATTTTAAAATTCATTCATTCATTTTTGGCTTAGTCCCTTTATCAATCAGGGGTCATCACAGCGGAATGAACTGCCAACTCATCCAGCATTTGTTTTACGCAGCTGATGCCCTTCCAGCTGCAACCCAGCACTGGGAAACACCCATACACACTCTTATTCACACACATACACTACTGACAATTTAGCTTATTCAATTCACCTGTCGATTTAAAAATTAATCATTCATTTTATATTGGATTTAAGCAGCACATTTTACATTAGATGCTCGATTAATAAAAATATAAAAGTTTTTGCTTTTTATTAATCAAATGTCTAATATAAAATGTGAGTAACTAAAATAAAATAAAAATGAATAAATTAATAATTAAAATAATGAGATGCTGTATATATTAATACAATACTGTTATAATTGATAAACCTAAACAAGTAATCTTAATATAAACTCACACATATTCTCAGCTGAACTCTTTTCATTCTCATTGATCTCCTCAAAAAGCTTGTACACTTTCTGAACGTTGAATGAAATGAATAAGACCCATTAGTTTAGTTTCCTTGACAACGGTTGAATTGAGCAGTCCTGCTCTTTTCTTATCCAATCACAGCACAGAGATGCAGATGACGTCACCCCTCTGCACTGAAGGCAATAAAGCCTTGAATTCACATCACACAACACAATTTAAAACCATCTTTCTAACATCAAAACACCGTATTAAACAGAGAATTAGTTCACATTTGGCTCATTTACATTAAACAGCACTTGTGTGTAATGCTAAAGAAGTCATTTAAGCAAATGACAATGAAACAAGAACTAATTAAGAGGATTTGAAGGGGTTCAGTGTCAGGTTATCAGTGTTTGAGCTTTTAATACCATAAGCTGGATAAAGAAGTCAACTTACATTCACAGTGAAGTTTGTGGACTCCTCTGAGTTCCGCCGGACTTCAGCTAATGCAGCAATAAGACCTTTCTCTGCCTGCTCACTGAAGGTACACATACGCACATCTACATGGCTTGGCACAAACTGAAGCACTGCAGACAAACAAAACACATGCATATAGACAAATGTCGATAATTCCATATATTGTGATATTGAACATGCACAATACTAATATTGTGGCCACTTCAAAATACTTCAAACTTTTAGAGCTCTATTTTAACAATATAGGCGCAAAGTAAAAGTGCATGGCGCAAAATAATTAAGGGCATGTCTGAATCCACTTTTGCTATCTTAAGGACAGAAAAATACACTCTGCGCCCCTGCACATGGTTTAACAGGGTTGTGCTTATTCTCTTAATGAGTTATAAGTGTGTTTTAAGCATAACTTGTATTAAACCAATCAGAGTCTCATTTCCTATTCCCTTAAAGAGTCAGTTGTGTCGCTATGGCACATTTACTATTTACATGGCGGACTTTGTAAGCTTCACTAGTGAAAAAACAGTTAAACCATCTGCAGCGAGAGGATAAAGAACGAACTTCCTTAATTCAGCCTCTTTACTTTCTTTTACACTTTACTTTAATCCTTTACTTTCGTGGATTTGAAAACGTGTTGTACGCACTCCACTGAAGACATCTATTAGCCTACATAATTAATTTTCATTTCAAAGTGCAAAGAATTGTTTCAAATTCAGTTCTAATTTCCAGCAAGTAAAAAAATGAACAATAATAACAAAGTGTGGAGTTATATCCAAACATACGTTCTATTCTTAGTGATGCATCTGTCTTCAAAACCCGACAGTTGGACAAATCTAAAGTTGCTTTTATTAAAAACAAATATGCATGTAATAAATAATGCTGCTAATAATAATAACAACATTATATAAATGCAAATTGTCATGAATGAACTGAAAAAAGGGCATGAAGGCATGACGAAGACATAGAGGCAGTGGTTTTTATATTTACATAGTAAATAATCATTTTTGTAACATTTTAATCCTTTAATTTTTTTCATACAGTATGTAAAGATATTTGCGTATTGCTGTTCATTCTGTGTGCATTAAGCATTGTGTAAGCATTTGAATAGAAGCATAACTAATGCGCTCTGCTTTGGACTTTAGACCTGCTTAATTTCAGTTCCTTAAAATAGCAATGCGCCAACAATGTGCCTTGACACACCTCTATTTTAGACTAGCCCATCCATGAGTCTAAAAAGCAAGGAAAATGGATTTGCTAACGAAACAACATGGTGCAAACCATTCATATTACTGTTGTGCTGGTCTGAAAATAGCAACAAATCTCGCCAAACACGCCTTGCGCCTTATTGCGACGGGTGTATGATAGGGCTCAGAGAGTGCATTTTAAGAATATTCAGATTGTATTTAAAGGTGTTCAAATTCCTGGAGACTTAATTGTTTAGCTTAATTGTTCAAACATGAACATTCACATGTTAATCTGGCCTATAAATGCTAAAATCTTAATTGAAAATTATTTGATCATGTATATAGGGCTATTGTAGGTTAACATTAGTTCATAGGGCTGCATGATTAATCATTAAAAGACTGTGATCTCAATTCGCTCTTCCACATGATCTTAATCCAGCATTTCTACAATTCGTCCAAATGTATTTAAGCACATGTTGTTACCTGCTTTCTATTCAGATGCTAAGCAATGCAGACAGACTCCAAAAGGCATTGAAAGAGTATTACTGTGTTTACTTCATAGGCTGTTAAAAATACTTATAAATGATTAATGAATAAATAAGTAAATTTACTTACATTCTGCCTTTATGTTCTACATTGCATAATGACTTATTGCAACTGTGAAATCACACGAGTTGACAAATATATGGTTATTTACCACAAAAAGCTCAACAAAAGTTCACCACTCCAAGTCTATACAAAATGTAGTAATTTAACCAACTAGGCCAAGGTTTTATAATATGAGAAATATTACAATAATAGAAATACCAATAATAATACCAATAATAAACGTTTTTAACACACACTATGGAGATAACATTGTATTGTGAGTTCAGTATTGAGATACATATCAAATTTTGACTTGAATTTAATGTTCCTCCCCTATTTCTTGCATGTTAAATAATTTTTCATTAAATTTCTTTCAATTTAATTGAAAAAAGAGTATTATATCTTATTTTATTGTCATTTTTTACTAAAATAAAATGTTCTACTGTACATATTTTTTATTTGAAGAAAAAATCTTTATTTAAAGCTAAAATATAAAATTGTGATTGCTTTTTTTCCAGAGCCATGAAGCCCTATTAGTTCATTTATCTAAACTCACAATGAAAACTACAAACTTTTTTATTAGTCTTAGTCTATATTAACTTCTTAGTTATTGTCTAATAGTGCATTAAAACCCTAGTCATAAATATGATTACAAGTTGTTTTATTAAATTGAATTAATAACTAAAAAAGAACAGTTGTGTATTTGAACTAATATTACCATAGTAATTGTAATAAACCTGTGTTTTTCTCACTGATGATTTTAATCCATTACCTAACTTTACTAATGAGATTTATTTGTAAACGGTTACCTGTTGTACTTTATAACTCTGTTACTTTTTTTATATTTATATTTTAGAAGTTTTTCACCTTTAATTTATAGGACAGTAGAAAGGGAGACAGGATCATTTCTTTTTTCTAAACTTGTGTATACAACAAAGCAATACACACAGTATGTTTCACTATTATACCTGTTAAAGTAACCTATTGGGAAGCTCAATATTTTGATAATACCGAATGTGATGATAAAATCTTCAGCAATGAATCGCAACAATAGAAAATGATACCATCAAAGGATTACATGCATATAGTCAAAAGCAACATGTTTGATATTTTGCAATCAAATATAAACTGCAGTGTACCTGTGTGTACATGGTACTGCCGGTCTGGTTCTGGACTGATAGGAGACACGCTAATAAATGGGTTGATAGTCCGAGCAGAGTTTTTCAAGGCATTAATGACTGATGCGGCCGTGTAAACTGCTGTTCCAGACACAGCGCGAAACACAAAGTCTGGAGGAGCTTTCACTACCTAGTAAACACAAAAAGCGTATTGTAAACACATGATGTGAAGGAAATGTACAGTACATCTTGCTTTTTTTGAGGCACATTGGAAAATATCTCATAAATTTTGTCATTTAATGAGCTTGTAAAAAACAAAGCTGATTCTGTATCGTTTTCAGATGCAGAGAATATGTTTCCATTGAGCTAAATTAGGTGTTGTTTGTTCGTGAGGAGGGCCCAAGAGATAAAACAGGAAGGGAGGACTTGATCTGTATGTTCACTGGATTAACAAACATGCTTAAAGTTTCTTCGACTCAAAACAAGAGAAAGCAGAATTAAATAAACATTGCTATGCTACACGTTTAGAAGAAACAAAAAACAAATGCTGCCTAATGTCTTTATAGCTCCTTCAGTCTGAAGAGTAGAAACTACTTTAGTTCTCTAGTTTAAATAGAGATTTTTTGAGAAATTGCTGCAAAGTAATGTGGATAAAAATAAGCATGACAATTTGATTCATGTTCTTTAAATAAAGACCACAATCAATGATTAAATGTTATGTTAATATGTAACTTAACATAACCTTGTGTGTGCAAATGTCCTACACTATTGTTTCCAATGTTTTAGATGAGGTAGAGATGCTTTAAATGCTTAAAATCAATAATAATAGCTTTTTAACCTTAATTAGTTGTATTTATCGATATTCTGTATTACGTAAAGTACTTAGGTTATGTCTATAGCTAACAACTTCTAGTACATGTATAGTTAGATTACCTGTTCACTATGTATAGGTTAAAACATTCTCTTATGTCCAGAGTTATATTCATCTTTATGTTTATGCTTACTGTGGTAACAACATTTCACTCCACTTTAAGTCCACACATTTAGAGAAAAGACAATAACAACAACTTAAACTTAATAATAGTCAATAATAATAATATATCTATTTTTGCACATTACCTGTAGCTCTACTGAGCGGTTGTACTCTGCTTTGAGAATCTCTCTGACTTTGGCTTTAGCATATCCAACTGTGGAACCTGGAGGAAACCCTATAATACAGCAAACATGAGGCTTAATGTTATTCTTAGAGCCTTAAATATAAAATACCAACAAAATAAAGCAAGCATGGTTAGTAATCCAATTATTTCTAAAGATGGATCAGTGCCTTATGGATAAATCTGCACACTGATCCTTGAATATTGACAAGCAAACCTTGCTGGTGCAAATTACTATAAAGCAAATTGATTTGTATGTCTTACCAACTCTGGTTAAGTAGGTGTCAGGTTTAGTGATGCTGCAGAGATACTTCCGGGCAGTGGTTGTTGGAGGGGTTGTGCTTAGGATGGTAACTGTGGTGTTGTTGTCGGAGCTTGTGACGGTGAAAGGCGTTTCAGTGGTGTCATTACGCAATACTGTAGAGAACGTGGTTGTAAGGCTATCGAACGGTGTGGTGTTATCAGTAGCCATGGTGTCAGATGCCGTTCCAGACACGAATCCTTCGTCTGCCATCTCTGTTGCAGGAGGGGTGGAGGTGATGTTGAAGGTTGAGTTATCTGGGTATTCAGAAACACTGATAGAGGTGGTTGCTAAAACACTGGGAAGTACACTGCTAGGTAATACAGTCTCTATTGGGAGTGAAGTGGTAATCCATTGGCTGACATTAACTGAAGATACACTATCTGGCTCCTTGGTCGCCAAAGGTGGCGTAGTCTCCAGTAAGGAAGTGTTGTCAGCTATAAATGGTGTGGTAGGCCAAATAGTGGTTGAGTTCTTATCTCCTAATGAAGTTGAAGGATCTACTGAGGGTGTCAATGTGAATGACGGCTCCATGTATGACAAAGTTATATTTACTACACTTGGTGTAACTTCAGAAGGATCCAGGATAGTGGTGTTAAAAGGCTCAAATCCAGAAGTGTCTGTTGAGGATTCCTCAGGCCAGGAGCTGTTACCTTCTGCAGGCTGTAGATCTTCATCAAACAGAGCTGTTAGCATGTAACTCGGGTCAACGGTGTAGGTTCTAGTGCTGACAATATGTGTGGTGCCAACCGGAATGAAAGAGAAAACACTAGAGGTCGTCTGATTGGCAGCGTGCTCTGGCAAGCTATCATTGTCCTTGGTCAACTGAATGGTGTAGTACTCTAAACTGTTCATGTCTGGTAAAAGGACATCCGTGGGCTGGACTGTAACAGTGCCTGGCCAATCAGATGCCAACTCGGAGCTCTCGTTCACAGACTGGTTCTGGTTCAAGACATCTGAAGTTGATGGAAGAAGAGGCAATGAATGGACTCTTGTTGGTTGGATGGCTGAAAGTGATGGCGAAATGGAGGGGCCAAGATCTGACGTCAAAATACTAGTGAATACTGGAGGTGGTGACGTAGTAAAGGGCACAACTGTCGTAGACTCTGAATAGACTCTAGTTAGTTGGATGGTTGAAATAGATAAAGAACTGCTGTTACCAAGATCTGATGCCAAAACACTGCTGAAAACTTCAGGTCTTGACGTGGTAAAGGGCACAACGGTTGTAAAACTTTGAAAGGTTGTTGTGTAAATAATTGAATCAGTGGTGGCTGCAATCGAGGTTGAATTACTATTAAAACTGGAACTGCCGACAAGTTTAATGGAGAAGGGACTTCTAACACTGGTGGAAGTGGTATACAAGTGTTTACTGGAAAACGACATCACGATTCTTGAGGGGAATGCAGTGTCATAGGTTTCAGAGTTTGAGTCTTCAAAGTCATACGCATCAGAGGGGAGGCTGGTAACTAGTGAATAGTCATTGCCTTCAGATCCCATAAAGGACATAGTTTCCAAGTAATCTCCAGAACCATAGTCCACATCCATTGTATTGGTTGGGAAAAAGTCTTCAGGTGGACCCATAGTTGGCTCGACAGATGCTGAAGTCAATTCATGGTGTACAAAAACCACATGACTTGGCTCCAACTGCTGATATTGTGCTTGGATGTTTGGGTCATGGCTGGGTTGTAAATGAAGGTCCTGGATATTGCTGGACGGTTCCAATTTGTCTCCAATAGGAACTTTAGTGTCATTGATTCCCCCTGTCTCATACTGCACTTGAGGGGAAGGAACTGGAGGCTCGGGAACAGGAAAATCTTGTCCAAGTAAAGGCAAGTGAGAAGAAACAGATGAATCTGTAGCTGATGAGATTTGAGGATCTGGGCTGATAGCGGACCAAGATAAATGCACATCAATGGAGGTAGGCACTGGATTATTTAGCTGTCGAGGATGTCTGATGGAACCCTTATTGGTAGATCTAGTGTTAACATTGGGATTGGGATTCTCTGTGGCTTTGGATGGATCCAAACTATTTGAGAGAGAAGATCCAGACAAGGCAATGGATACATTATACAGCACTTCCGTTGAAAACTCATTTGGCATGATTGGAGTGTCCAAAGGCCGCACTGAGGAAGACAAACAACAATAAAATTACATTTTAATGAAATAATTTTATAACGCCAATTACCAAAAACTAGACATACACCAATATGGAAACTATGGGCAATAATATTAAGTAAGTAAAGTTTATTTATAAAGCACATTTACTTCAGTTTGGCACTGACTAAAGTGCTGAACAAAACCATAGCACACACTCTAAGAGTAAAAGAAACAATAAAAGTAATAATAGAAATCAAAGTATTACAGCAACAACCACATTAAATATTAAAAGCCTGGGAATGCAATAGAATATAAATGTGTCTTAAGTCTAGACTTAAAAATAGAGAGAGAAGAAGCACTCGTAATATCCGGTGGCAGCTGGTTCCACAAACGAGGAGCAGCGACTGCAAAGGCTCTATCTCCTTTCAATTTAAGTCGTGACCGAGGAATTTGCAGTAAAATTTTATTTGAGGACCTAAGAGACCGAGGAGTTGACTGTAAGTTAACAAGCTCTAATATATATAAGAAGCTGCTTGCCCATTCAGTGCTTTAAAAACAATAAGTAAAATCTTGAACTGAATTCTAAAATTAACAGGAAGCCAATGAAGGGATGCTAAAACTGGTGAGATATGAACATGTTTTTTGGTGTCTGTTAAAAGTCTAGCTGCCGCATTTTGAACCGGCATTAGTTATAATGATAACTAATAAATCTTTATATTTGGAGGTTGATAGGTGATATACAGGCTGATAAATATAAATATGCATTTTTTTCTGCATGAAAAAAACAAAACAAACAAATGTCAAACATATACAGAGAACAATTGTTATTTTTATATTCCTTTATATTAGATTTTATTCAGTCTGCACTGGTAGCTTCTTTTGGGTTCTTCAGAAACCTATAGGTGACGTCACGGATACTACATCCATATCTATTACTGTCTATGGTAAATATCAGCGTAATCGTTACCCAAGCAAGGTGGGAACACTCACTAGCAGTTTCAATCGCAACCGAGAGCGTCAGGCTTCTACAAAATCGCTGCTAGCGTGAATGAGGCATTAGGTATATCTCAGGATAATAGGTGATCAGAATTTAGCTGAACACAACTACAGTAGGTTAACACTGTTATCACAAAATACAGATTTTTTTTTTTTAATGTAAGACTTAAAAATCTATATTCAGCATTTATTATGCAGCAAAGAGTTCATAACGCATGTGATCCAAAAAGTAAAGCCATTGGAAATTTGATTGATTTTGAAGACAGACGACTGATAAAAATACAACACTTACCTACAAAACAATACAACACAATCAAAGACTTAAGTATCCCACACACATTTTAAATACATTATGACATGATATTATCATACCTTTTGCATTTAAAAATATAAAGACACAATTGAGTTGATCAGAAACACTGTTGGACATTATTTCACACGGTTACATCAAACAGTTTGAGTGCTGAAGACTTTCATCATGCCATTGTGCCCATATGCTCCAAGGCTTTTTCTCTTGCAGAAGTCGCACTGCCATGATTACCCAAGTCACAATCTTGCACATGTGCGACTGGTTTGGAATGTGCCAAGGGTATGAAACAGGAGAGTATTTAAATAATTAAGCATGCCACTTTCAAGGAGGATTCCTGAAAGCAGTATCGGCCTGTCTGGTTTATATTCCGCTACACGTTTTATAAACTTTCCATTTGCATAGCTTTTTTACGGTGGGTGCAGAAGTTGAGCGTAAATGTTTGGCTTGGTATTCAGAAGCAGCTGCACAGTAATGAAATGATACATTCCGAGGCGAAGGATGAAAAGGTGAGGAGCTTCTTAATGAAGCATGAGTGAGCAAAACAGTCTTAAGCACTGTTTGGATGTGTCTAGTTTTTCCTTGGGAGAAATGATTTGATAAAGGTTAAAATAAATGAGGATAAAATTACAACCGACAACTGTCATTGTGTTACACGCTGGCATCTATAGAATATGGATTTAGCCCAATATACTCTCTCACTGTGTTGTGAGGAAAATTGATTGGGAATGTATGATAAAAATGTAATAAAAAATATGTGTAGCATTTTGACAGTACACAGATGATTATCTCCAATAATTTTGAAGATCGTGTATTTGCGCTATAGTAAACATACTCACTGGAACTGAAATCTGGCTATCCTCAGGCTTAGTGACACGATATCATGTTTCATATAATTTGGTATCGATCATTTTTAAAATATTTTTTAACAATCCATTTAGGAATATTAGGAGGTTTATTTAACCACTTTTTTAAAATTTACCAACATTATTAAGGCAAATAGTTTTAATATTACAATACAAAGAGAGAATTCAACAAAATATCTCATCTCTTTATAATAAAATAAACATAAGTGTTAAATAAACTCTTAAACTTAAATAAAATGTTATAAAGTGTGTGCAATAGTAAAGGGTAAATGGTGAACAATCAAAGCAAATTTTAATGTGTGAATAATAATGATACAGTGAACTTTAAACTCTGTAAACCAGGGGTCACCAATCCTGGTCCAGGAGGGCCGGTGTCCCTGCAGGGCTTAGCACTAACTTGCTTCAACACACTTGCCTGGATGTTTCAAGTATACCTAGTAAGACCTTGATTAGCTTGTTCAGGTGTGTTTGATTAGGGTTGGAGCTAAAATCTGCAGGACACCGGCCCTCCAGGAACAAGTTTGGTGACCACTGCTGTAAACAATACAAATTAATATAATAAAATCTGACCTTTCGAATAAAGGAACCAGCCATCATTATTCAAATACATACTGCAACATTACAAACAGTGAAGTTGAATGACTATATTACCCCCCATGGAAAAACATCTTTCAGATGGGGTGCTAGTGACAGGGATGCACAAGAAAAAAAACCAAAAAGCCACTTTTTACATCTTTTTTTATTTCCAATCTCCTCACTGCAGCTATACGGCACTCATTTTCATGTGTGTTGTTATTCTGACCTGAAGTGGTGATACTGATAACACAACCCTTAACTCACACGTGAAAAATGCGAGCAGGTGGCTCAAGTGACCATCAACCATTTTCTCAGAGGACGACAAACGGACAAACTATTGTTGCAGCTCTGATACAAGTTTATGGAGAAAATGAATAAGCACTGCAGTGTTTTGGTACGCTGTGTTCGTCTGAGGTAATTAGTCTGCCGTTATTACTAAAATTTGTGAAGCAGATTGATTAGTTCAACCTACAAGAATCGTGGTGCACTTGCGGCATTCTGAAAAGTTCAGATATTTTTCCACTATGTGCACTTGAAAAATGTGCACGAGTCATGTGTGCGCCGCATGCATACCATTTACGCGTCACTCCCTTTTTGTGCCACAAGTTGTGCGAATCCATTGAAAATGAAATACTTACACCATAAAACGGATAGGCATTACTTCCAAGGTGCACGCTCGGCAGGTACATTTGAATAAAACTACTGTATAGTGCATCATACCAAAACTTCATACCAAACTTTTTTTTAAGAGTTATTGACAACAGTGTTTGGTTAATAAATACTGACATCGTTTTTAAATCGCAAATGTTTGCGAAACGTTTGCAAAATTTTTCATTCATTCATTTTCTTGTCAGCTTAGTCCCTTTATTAATCCGGTGTTGCCACAGCGGAATGAACCGCCAACTTATCCACCACGTTTTTATGCAGCGGATGCCCTTTCAACCGCAACCTATCTCTGGGAAACAACCACACACACACACACATTCACACACACTCGTATACTACGGACAATTTAGCCTAAACAATTCACCTGTACTGCATGACTTTGGACTGTGGGGGGAAACCAGAGCACCCGGAGGAAACCCATACGAACGCAAGGAGAACATGCAAACTCCACACAGAAACGCCAACTGAGCCGAGGTTTGAACCAGCAATCCAGCGACCTTCTTGCTGTGAGGCGACAGCACTACCTACTGCGCCACTACTTCGCCTGCAAAAATTTTAAACAGTATATTTTCATAACCCAGATGATAATTTAATATCATTTTGAAAAATTCTGCAAGGTGGCATTGGCCAGTGTGTAAAACTAGGTCATTCCATATCCTCAAAAGACCCCAAACCAACCATAAAAAAAGAGATGAGTCAAAACTGTTTCTTCTCAGAAACACGATGAACTGTAATTTGCTGATTTCAATTAATTAGATTTAGAATGAAAACAACCGATTTAGTTAATAGTTTACCAAACAACAAACAATAAAAATGTCTTCATTAAATCAACCTCAATTGAATGAAACTTGTTTGAGTTTTTTCCTCTTAAACACATATTTCTTAAAGATATTTTGAAGAAAATTGGAATGGGATAGTACTTGTTTTCCAAAGTATTTACTATAGATGTCAATGGGAAAACAAAAAGATACTTGCATATGTTCTCATAATGGTTTGGAACCACATAAGGATGAGTCAATTTTCATTTTGGGGTGAACAACACTTTGAAGTTGAATAGATAAAACAAATTTTAGCATTAAAAGGTTACCTCTATAACTTTTGAATGTATCATTCATGCTACATGTTTTTCCAATTATATTTAAATGCTAAAGCAGACTCATTCAGTCATCTTCAACAACTCACATTCAATGCAACTGAGGGCTCAAAGAAATTGCACATGTAGACATCATAACGAAACTCATACCAAATATGATTCACAGAATACGTAATAATCATTCAGCATTGTCTTAGATTCAAAGCCAGATGGATTTGTGACTCTGCAATTACTAACATCACTCAGCTTTCTGAAGGACCCCCCACCCCAGACCTCATACAGACTATTTAACCCACAATTCTATATTTAGTCTTTTGATCTGCCTAAAAAAAGAGAGACAGATATAAGAAAGAACACGCCTTCATATAAAATTCTGGCTCTGTTATCAAAAGAAACAGCATTACAGACAGTTCCATAGCATCAGCCAAGTTCACTGACCACTTTAAAGAAAAAAAAAAAAAAAAAAAATCTGTGACAATAGCAAATAAGAAACAGCTTTTTGGCATTAATTGTTATGTGATT